GTTTTGTCAACTCTCCCCTGACCTGTTTTGAGCAGAGTTTTCCAAGGAGCCACTTTCAGATCGCTGCATCTAAAAAACTATTTAAGGTCACTTCTTCAAATTTTCTAGGGTTCAAATTTGTCAAATGTACTTTTACACAGGTGCTTTTGATTTATCACAGATTTCTGGGGCTTGAATTTGCTTGAAAATTCTCCTCTTCAAATCTGAGGGCGTCTTTGAAGGACTGTGGAAAGTGCAGTTTCAAAGACAGAGGTTTCATATTGAACATACATCTTCCCACACATGTTACTGTGGACTTTGTATTTTAAAACTGACCCTCTGTGACCAACGCTCTGGACCACAGGTGTCAAACATATGGCCCGGGGACCAGATCCAGCCCTCCAAGACCTTTAATGTGGCCCTTGGGTGATTTTCTACTAAAATATTTTAATTATATTTTCTATTAAAATCTTGTTAATTTTCTGCGGTGTTTATCACAGCAGCGTCTCCAGTGTCTCTGTACGTGGCCCCTCCCACCAGAGCAGCACAAATGAAGACTTGTCTCTTTCCAAACGCTCTTAAAGGACGATCGTTTTGACTGTTGACCGTGACACCCTCATCAAAAAATGTCCAACATGAGAAAAGTGGAGCCGAGTGCAGGATTTTACAACAAAAATGGACTTATTTATGTTAAAACATTGTGTTGAAATTGAATTTTTCTTAAAGTTTCAGGTTGTTCATAATATTATAATAAGAAAGAGTTCATCAATTAAAAAAGATTTCTGTAACAGATTTGTGTTTCTCTGCACAAATATTTGAACTTGTTATTTTTGGGATTTATATGTCATGAGTTTTCTGATCCGGCCTCTTTGGGATCAAAGTAGGTTGACAAAATGAGTTTGACACTCCTGCTCTAGAAGATATTAAGTGTTAAAAATGGAAAAAAATAATAATTTAGTACCATCTTTACCATGTTATACCAAAAAAAATGACAGCACCCACCAACATAAAACGGACAGTTTTAGAAAGACTAGATGTCTGTTTTTAACATATCCAACATTTGTGATGGTGTTCTGCATTATTTTTCCAAAGCGGGGGGCATTTGGACGTTTGGCATGTTAAGAACTAAACTAGCATGCATGAACCTCCTAGGACCTGAACTCTTGCATGGCTTTATTGATTTGTCTTTGTTGTTTGGGCTGATGGGACCTGATGAGGCGAAAACAAAGAATTATATTTTAACATGATGTTGTTTCTGAGAAAAATTATATCCAGATATAATTTATAAAACATTCATTTTACATTTTAATCATTTTGATGGAACACAATAAAGTCACAATTGAATAATTATTTGCAAAAACAATTTACTAACTAGGAGGATACACATGTTAATTAAAAATGTAACAATAACTGACATACCGTGATATTGTATCATTAAAAGTCTCACAATAATACTAGAAGTTGTCACAATATATTAAATCACAAGTCTCTTCACTTAAATGGTTAGTTATGGTGATTTTACTGACTTTCTTTGTGACTTTAACGTCTTTTTTATTCTGTAAAGCACTTTGAATGACTTTGTCTTGCCTTGCCGTGGTGCAGCAGTAGCTAAAAAACAGAGGGAACTACATAGACCATGATCCTAGACTATGTGAAGAAATGTGTGCAGACTACTAAAGTAGCATATTCACAATTTTTTAAATCTCTCCAAAATATCGTAATAACTATCGAACCGTGAGATGCATATTGTGAAAATATTAGGGCTGGGTATCATTAAGAAGTTGCCGATACGATACATATCTCGATACACAGGCCACGATACGATACATATCTCGATACAGTGCACTTTCGATTCAATATGATATATTTCAAATCGATTCGATACAGTTCAATAAAAAATAAAGGCAAAATCATGGCTGTGATACTAAAAGTCTTAGTTAAACCACTTCTTGTGCAAAGTTCATATGAAACACAAACATTTTAATCATCAAAACAGTGAAAATGTCAAATGTGTCGTATAAATGAGTTTCCTTTGACTCCACAAGCAACAAAACTGTAGCTGTAACAAAATAATTTAGTAACACATCTAAAAATACTCTTGGTGATATATCGATACAGCAGCCCACGATATCGATATTGTATCATCACATTAAACGATACGATATATCGATACTCCGATATTTTTGCACACCCCTAGAAAATATCATCTCATTCTGATATTGTTACATCCCTAATGTCAATACATTGTTTCGGTGGATATAGTTTTGCCAAAACATTCAAAGGAAACATGTTGATCTCATTGTTCTGTGTGAGCAGTTAAAACAGAAGTGTAGAAGTGTAATCGCCTCTTTAATCTTATCGGTAAGGTTGAAAAATCGAAAATCAGATACTAGTTGAATCATTTGAGCAAGTATCCATACAAAAAAAAAGTTAATCTATCGTCCACTGATCTGAAGGTTGGGGGCTCGAATTCCGCTCGCAGATCCACTGGCCCACAGGTTAACTGGTGTGATTTCAGCTCCTACAGATGAATGCTGTCGTTGTGTTGTGTCCTTGGGCAAGACACTGAACCCACCTTGCCCTCAGTGTCTGTGTACACTGGTGTGTGAATGTGTGTGTGGTTCCTTGTTGTAAAACGCTTTGAGCCTTGAGGGTGGAAAAGCGCTACAGAAAAATGTGACCGTTTACTTTAATAATGATGGATCAGTTTTCTATAGCTTTAACACACACACACACACACACACCACTTTCAGACTAGGCAATGTGGGTGATGTGTCTTGCCTAAGGACACAACAACAACGTTTCACCACTGACGCCCCACTGCGGCACCAGGAATTCCCGGTGGTCTCCCATCCAAATACTGAGCAGACCCAGCCCTGCTCAACTTCTGAGACCTGACGAGATCAGACTTTGACAAGAAGATACGGCCAGAACGATGTTGAGCTGAATCAGAACAAGTATTAGAGAACATAGACTAGTACACACCCACAGACCGCTGTAGGACCTTCTTAGTACTTGTTAGAGTAACTAGACATAACATCAGATTTATAATTTGAAATGAATGTAATGTGAGGGATAAAACCTTAATAATGCACAAAATCTGGTGTTTTCAAAGACAGTCTGTGAAAATGAGAGAAAGTAAGACAAATGTCCAAATCATTTCATATTGTCACATAAAACCTTTGTCACTTACAGAGGTGGAACCAAGTCATCGTTTTGTAAGTCTCAAGTAAGTCTAAAGTCTATGAACTCAAGTCCGAGTCAAGTCCCAAGTCCAATACCTGCAAGTCCAAGTCGAGTCTTGAGTCACTGGCCCATAAATCCAAATTAAGTCCAAGTCGTCTGCTTTGAGCTTCAAGTCATTTCAAGTCTTTAAACAAAAATACCAAATATAGTTAGTTTTCTGCAATTTATAAGTAAGTCTTTATTTATGTAGCACTTTTCACAAACATATGTCGCAAAGACACGTTACAGAGCATTTTTATAGATTCATTATTCTTTTTTTCTCCACAACCGGTGATGGTAAACTACTATTGTAGCCACAGCTGCCCTGGGGCAGACTGACAGAAGCACAGCTGCCATGTCAATCGGCGCCATCGGTCTCTCCGACCACCACCATCACTCACCACTTTCATATTAGGCAATGTGGGTTAAGTGTCTTGCCTAAGGACACAACAACAGTTTGTTGTGACTGGCCCTCCTGTGGATCTCCCATCCAAGTACTGACCAGGCCCAGCCCTGCTGAGCTCCTGAGATCTGACGGGCTCAGAGTTTGACAAGCTGGTATGGCCACAATATATGAACTATTTTTAAACTAAATTGTACTTAAAAAAAAATCATAGTATATTTATAAATGAGTATTTCTAGAATATATAAGAGTAGTAGAAATGAAAATGTTTCTTTTTTAAATGTCTTGACAAGATCTTAGACTGAATCATCACAGTCAGAACAAAAAATTATTCAAATTTAAAAGTGCCTCTCAAGTCTTCTCAAGTCACAGGCTTCAAGTCCAAGTCAAGTCCCAAGTCACTGACCTTCAAGTCAAGTCTCAAATCTTAGTCCATTTTATAAAGTCAAGTCTCAAGACCTAAAAATTGTGATTCAAGTCTGACTCGAGTCCAAGTCATGACTTGCAAGTCCAACATTTACTTAATTAATACTACACTGTCAAATTGATAGTACAGAGTCAAAGCTGGGTAGTACTCAGTTACATTTACTTGAGTAACTTCTTAGAGAAATAGTACTTTCATAGCAGTATACTTTTACTCCTACTTGAATAATATTGCTATTGAAGTAACAGTGCTCTTACTAGAGTAAAAGTTTGTGTTTTTTGCACCGCTCCTTCAGATAGAATTGAGTTTGTCTCATTTTTGTGTCTATCCTTTGAAAATACCAGAATGTTGTGTAATGTATTGTCCTTCAGATTAAATTAACTTCAAATTCTAAATCAGATGTTATGTCCTGACAGTTACTCCTTAAGTTACTCTTACTTGAGTGATTTCCTGGAACACTACTGTGTACTTCTACTTGAGTAACATTACTTTGAAGCTATGTTACTCTAGTTGGCTCCTCTCCCCACCTGTGTAGTAGGAGTATTGTGTCTGAAAAGTACTCTGTGAAGTAGAATGAAAATGACTGAAGTATGAGTCCTACCCACCTCTGCACACGGCACACAGGAGTCATCTTTGACCTACTTTTAGTCATACAGTTTATTCATAAATATGCTTTGGTGTTTTACTTAATACTACCTGAGGATGTTGTGAAATCTTTGAAACGTACACAAAAATGTCGTCTAATTCATCTTTTATACTTTACGCGCCCGAGAAAAAACTTGAATAGGCTAAAGTTAGTCCAACAAGACAAAAACAAGACACAACAGGTTCCTTTTAAGGTCTTCTGTTACATATGCGCGCCTGTAATACCAGTGTAACACATAGATCTGTCCCGGGTAACTTCGGAACTTCCTTAAAACGTATGTGAGCGACGGGAGCGCGCGTCGCTTCCGCACCCTTTCTGTCAGACGAGAGCGGGCACGAGCAGCGGGGACGTGCACTTTTTTTTTTTTTTTTTACTCCTCCGTACTTTCACTAAACTCTCCGGGCACATTCAGACCGTTTCACCCGAGCCTCAGCTGAGCCTTTGGTGCGAGAAGTCGGATTACGCGAACCGAGGACGCATGGAACAAGGCCGCGACGCGTCCAGTTTTACGCGCAACAAGTTTAGCGCTCCACGGACACTTAGGAGGATTATTACCCGAGAGATTTGCAGTGTTTTTGGGTGATTCGGAGAAGCGTGTTCAGGTTCGGTCGCGTGAGAAGACCTTGATCCGGGAATTAAGCTGCTTTGCCCCGCCAGATCAGCACCATGAACACGGCGATGTACGCGGTGAAGAAGCGGAAGAAGCCCGTTCAGAAAATGTAAGTGGAAGTCTTGGTTTACGCGCAAGAGCAGCCCGTCTGTATATTGTTTACAAAGAAAGTAGGCTAATGACCCGGACTATATCAGAACTAAACCAGGACTAAATCAGGATTGTACCACGACTACATTAGGTCTAAACCAGATCGAAATCTAAATAGGACATGAGCCAGAAATAACTCCAAGTCGAAACTACAAGTAAACAAGATTAAAATCTCGTGTCTAGACAAAAAATCTGGTCTAGGACTCTCAACTACCAGGACAAATGAAGACTAAATCAGGGCTAATCTTAAACCCGGGTCAAACCTGTAATTAACCTGGTTTAATACAGAACTAAACAATGGTAATAAACTAGTAACTAACATAGACAACTAAACCAGGATTAAACTTGGATCAACCAGGACTGGTTTACACATGAACTAAACCAGAACCAAACCAGTAATTATAAACCAGTACTAACATGGACTAAATCTGGACTAAACCAAGATTAAACGTGGACCAAACCAGGAATGTACCAACTCACTAACCTGGAACAAACCAAGGCTAAAACCAAGACTAAACCAAGACTAAATGAAAAATTGGTCTTGGTTTGGTCTTGGTTTAGTCTTGGTTTAGTCTTGGTTTACTAACATGGACTAAAATGAGACCAAACTAGACATTGCCCAATCTGAACTAAACCAAGACTTGGACCAAATCTGGACTAAACCAGGATTAAACGTGGACCAAACCAGGAATGTACCAACTGGAATAAACCAAGACTAAACCAAGACTAAATGAAAAATTGGGCATGGTTTGGTCTTGGTTTAGTCTTGGTTTAGTCTTGGTTTACTAACGTGGACTAAAATGAGACCAAACCAGGAATTGCCCAATCTGAACTAAATCTGGCCTAAACCAGGATTAAACGTGGACCAAACCAGGATTGCACTGGGTTAAACTTGAACTAAACCAGGACTAAACCAAAGATAAGAAACCAGTATTAACATGGACTAAATTTTACCCAAGAATGAACCAAGACTGTCTCACTAATTGGGTAACCTGGATTGAACTTGAACCAAAACCAGGACCAAACCGCTCCAAACCCCAGACTAAACCCGCGCCACCAACACGAACAAAAGCTGAACCAGATCAGAGCTTAACTTGTCTGTATTTTTTTACTTTTTAACTTCTAGCCTACACTCCCCCTGGGCCCCTGACCCTTGCCTTGTTTAGTCCCCATTGTAGTCTGCACTGTGTTATCGTCCATATCATCTCTCACGTTCGGCTGTGTTCCGTTGTTGTTGTGTTCCGGTGTGGACTTGGTGACCTCTCCTCACACCGCTCTGACCCCCGGCTCGTGGGTGACCGCTACCTCCTCCTCCTTTTCTTCTTCCTCCTCCTCCTCCTGCTGCTTACTCATTTTATATTATTTGACACGTTGAAAATACATCGCATTTCTCTTCGGAATCCACTTGTGGTTTTTGGTTTTGTTTATGAAGTTAGCCCAAGTTTGCAGATGGTTTGGGGCTAATATTTTAGGCCTCGATGGATTATATGTTGCTTTCATTGTTTCCTTGGAAGTTCCTCCTCTGACAGTGGCCCTATTGTTCCAGTTTGAGGACTTAATCTCACCAACAAACAAATGTACAGAAATCTAACAGCTCAAATGAGTGTTTTATCTCATCTGGGTAATTATTTGCTGGAAACGTATCTTACATTTTTGCAACTGAACTTTGGTCTCTATATGTCGTGCTCTGTGTGGTGCTTGGAATGATTTCAGATTTTTTAAAAAAGTCTAGTTTTTTGAGTCTAGACTAAACCTGGTCTAGAACTGTACTCCCAGGACTAAACTAGTGCACAAAATAAACTAAAACAACACACAATCTAAACGCAAAATGTTATAAACTCGATTTAATCCAGCAAATAAAACTGAACTCCCAGAATTTTGGTGTAAATAAACCATTGCTGATAAGAAAACATAAATTAACACTATAATGATGATTTATTCTTGTTTAAAAGTCTTATATTATGCAAAATTCGCTCTCTTCCGCGTCAAAAACATACCCGGAGGTTGTGTTGTGTTTTTACCGTTTACCTTTTGTTTCGTAGAGATTCCAGGCCTGAAATCATCCGAGTGAGTCTAGGGAAGGTGTACGGAGCGTGGGTTTGTGCGTTAAACGTGTGCAAATGAAACAAAACACAACTTCAACTGTTTGTGACGAGGAAACGTTAAAATGTAGGTCAGAAAATAGAGTAATATAACCCTTTATGTTTAAGAAAAGCCTCAAAACTAGGACTAAACCAGGACTAAACCAGGGATAACTAACGTGGACTAAATCTTGATTCAACCAAAATTTAACTTGGACCAAGCCAGGAATGTACCAATTGCCAAAGACTGCACTTGAACTAAACCAGAACTAAACCAGGTCTAGACAAGGACTAAAGCAGTGCAGTTATATTTAAGGGATTTTGTCTAAACCAAGATTAAACTAGGACCAAACCAGGACTTTACCAAGTGATAACCAGGACTGCACTTGGATTTAACCAGGACTAAACCAGGATTAAACCAGGTCTAAACCAGGACTAAAACAGGACTAAAACAGAACCAGACCAGTGCAATCATATTTGAGGACATCTGACTGGGTTTTTAATTAAATTAGGACCAAACCAGGACTGTATTAATTGGACTGCACTTCAGTTTAACCAGGACTAAACCAGGTCTAAACCAGGACCAGACCAGGTCTAAACCAGGACTAAACCAGTGCAGTTATATTGGAGGACTTCTCACTAAACCAATATTAAACTAGGACCAAACCAAGACTAAACCAGGTCTAAACCAGATCTAAACCAGAACCAAACCAGATATAAACTAGGACTAAACCAGGTCTAAACCAGTGCAATCATATTTGAGGACTTCTGACTGGGTTTTTGATTAAATTAGGACTAAACCAGGACTGTATCAAATTGGACTGCTCTTCAGTTTAATCAGGACTAAACCAGGACTAAACCAGGACCAGACCAGGACTAAACCAGGTCTAAACCAGGACTAAACCATTTCCTTCCGCTTTAGAGGCCTTCTGTCTAAACCAAGCTCCAACTAGGACCAAACCAGGACCGTACCAACTGCCTCCTCTGGCTGGATTACGCACGAACAAAACCGGGACTTAAAAAACTAAAGACCAGAACCAGCACCAGTACTTGGGAGCGCGTCTGACCGTGGCCCCTGCAGCGTCCAGGGGTTCGGCGCGTCCGTGAGCGGTGCCAGCAGCGCGGTCAGGAGAGGGAGCGTGTGCGTGTGGCTCTGTACCTGCATTAATCACAATCAGGGGCCGAGGCAGTGCGGCTCTCACGCGATGTTTCCACGAGGGAGGACGGGGGGGGGAGGGAGCGGTGCCTGTAACCCGATCCGTGCGCCCGCCTCCTCCGCTCTGCCACAACTCACTCTTTTCCCGTCGTCTTTTTTTTTTTTTTTTTTTTTTTCGCCTTTTCTACGGCTTGTTTTCTTTCGGCCCTCCCTCGACTCAAATTAACATAGCTCCGTCTCACGCAAACTTGTGTAAGGGCTGAGGGCTGCCTGCTCTGGGGGGAAAGTGGCTCTCTCTCTCCCTCTCTCTTTTCAGTCTATGGGAGTTGGTTTTTGACTCGGGTTTTTTTTTTTTTTTTTTTTTTTTTTTTGTGAAACACTTGAACTAAACCAGGACTGAACCCAGACCAAACCAGTGATAATATACCAGCGCTGACACGGACTAAAGCAGGACTTATCCAAGACTAAACCGGGAAGAAACCATCAATAATAAACCAGTAATAATGTGGACTGAACCTGGACTAAACCAAGATTAAAGTTGGACCAAACCATGAATGTATCATGTATGACTAACCTGAAATGCACTTGAACTAAACCAAGACTAAACCAAGTATAAACCAAGTCTAAACTAGGACGAAACCAGGACTAAACCATTAATAATAAATAATACTAACATGGACTAAATGTGGACTAAACCATGATTAAACTTGAACCAAACCAGGAATATAAAAATACACTTGAACTAAACCAAGTTTAAACCAGGAATAAACCAAGACTAAACTTGAACTAAACCAGATCTAAACCAGGACTAAACCAATGATAATAAACCAGTACTAACATGGACTAAACCTGGACTAAACCAAAATTAAACTTGGACCGAACCAAGAATGTATCATGTATGACTAACCTGAAATGCACTTGAACTAAACCATGACTAAACCAGGTCTAAACCAAGTCTTAACTAGGACTAAACCAGGACTAAACCAGGTCTAAACCAAGTCTTAACTAGGACTAAACCAGGACTAAACCAAGATTAAACTTGAACCAAACCAGGAATGTAAAAATACACTTGAACAAAACCAAGTATAAACCAGCTCTAAACCAGGACTAAACCAGGACTAAACCAGGTCTTAACCAGGACTAAACCAATGATAATAAACTAGTACTGAAATGGAATGAATCTTGACTAAACCAAGATTAAATTTGGACCAAACTAAGAATGTACCATGTATGACTAACCTGAAATACACTTGAAGTAAACAGGTCTAAACCAGGTCTAAACCAGGTCTAAACCAGGACTAAACCAGGTCTAAACCAGGTCTAAAAACCAAGACTAAACCAATGATAATAAACCAGTATGAACATAGACTAAATCTGGACTAAACCAAGATTAAATTTACCTGGAATGCACTTGAACTAAATCAGGACTAAACCAAGTATAAACAAGGTCCTAACCAGGACTAAACCAATGACTAAATCTGGACTAAACCTAGATTAAATTTGGACCAAACCACTAATTGACTAACCCGAAATGCACTTGAACTAAATCAGGTCTAAACCAGGACTAAACCAGTTTTAAAAACCAAGACTAAACCAATGATAATAAACCAGTAATAACATTGACCAAATCTGGACTAAACCAAGATTAAATTTGGACCAAACCAATAATGTACCATGTATGACTAACCTGGAATGTACTTGAACTAAACCAGGACTAAACCA